TGTACATAGGCCTAGCGTATCATCTGACCCCAAAATAAGTATTTTCAATTGATTACTATACATTTTCTCTCTTGTATCACCCACCATCAGATTCAACATGACACCAAATTCATCTTCTTCTGGCCGACACCCTCTGGTCTCCTTATTTCTGTTAATATCGTTATTGTTACAGTTTATTAGGTATAAAATTTGGTTACCAAAATCTAAAAAAAAACACCCAAAGAGCTGACACTTATTGTTTACTGTGTGCCAGACACTGTTAAATTTTTATTGGATTCCCTGGCTTGGTAGCTCAGTTGGTTAGAGCATCATCCTGACATGCCCAGACTGTGGTTGGATCCTTAGTCAGGGCACATACAAGAAGCAACCAATGAATGCATACATAAGTGGAACAACAATTGATGTTTCTCTTATCCTTCCTCTCTCTCTCAAATCAATAAGTAAGAAATTAAAACAGCCCTAGCTGGTTTGGCTCAGTGGATAGAGCATCAGCCTGCGGACTGAAGGGCCCTGGGTTCAATTCCAGTTAAGGGCACATGCCTGGGTTGTGGGCTCAATCCCCAGTAGGGGGCGTGCACAGGCAGCCGATCAGTGATTCTCTCTCATCATTGATGTTTCTATTTCTCTCCCTCTCCCTTCCTTTCTGAAATCAATAAAAACATATTTAAAAAAAATTAAAACAATTTTTATTGGATTACTTTATATAATCTCCACAATAATTTTTTAAAAATATATTTTTATTAATTTTAGAGGGGAAGAGAGATATAGAAACATCAATGATTGCTGGAGGCGAATTCCAGCATGTCATAATTATGCAATAAGTTCATCAAAAGGTTGATGAACCTTGAGGCTTCTGCAGGGCTGAAAATCTGCATGTTATTACCTGTTGCTGGAACAGCCGAAGGCAATTCCCCAAACCTGACCAAACCTTACCTTTGATATATATATCTGCTTTGCTATAGGGCAAAATGTGTTACTAAAAAGCTAGGGGTCCAGAGATTCGGGGAACTAAGTTACTAAAACTGAGCTCCATCTGGCTCCCCCCAACTAATGCCTTCCAAATTTCATGTCTAGTTTATTTGATTTACTCGCAGCCCCTTCTCCAGATTCCTGAATCCTAATAGATGCAGGATAACACCCCGGAAAATGATGATAATCATTGATTGGCTGCCTCCGCATGTGCCGTGATGGGGATCGAGCCCAAAACCTGGGCATGTTGCCCTGACTGGGAATAGAACCATGACCTCCTCGTTCATAGGTCAACGCTCAACCACTGAGCCAGCTGGCCAATCCACAACAATCATGGTGACAATATTACTCCCATTTAGCAAATACAGAAACTCGGGCTTAGTGATGGCTGAGTAACTTGTTCAAGGTTACATAATTACTATGTAACTGAGCCCGGAATCAACCCCCATCCTTTGAAAACAGAGCCATACTCTAACTATTGCTATGATATAGGTCTACTCTATCCCTTGTTCATTATATCTAATCAACTCCCAAATCTTGTCATTCATCCTAGTAATCTATATATATAAAAGGCTAAGCGACCATTACGACAGAACAACTGGAACGACCGGGCGCTATGACATGCACTAACCACCAGGGGGCAGATGCTCAATGCAGGAGCTGCCCCCTGGTGGTCACTGCGCTCTCACAGCGGGAGCACTGCTCAGCCAGAAGCTGGGCTCACCGCTGGAGAGTGCAGGAGCGGTGGCAGGAACCTCTCCGCCTCCCCGGCAACGCTAAGGAGCAGCGAGAATGGTGAGAGAGCAATGAGAGTGCAGAAAGACAGGCGAGAGCAGCGAGAGCCCCTGAGAGCTGAGCTGGGTGGCGCCCAACCTGGCTCAGGCTCCTCCCTGGCCACCTGCCACTTCGCACACTGCTACATCCCCCGAGGGGTCCCCGATTGCGAGAGGGCGCAGGCCAGGCTGAGGGTCCCCTCCCCCTGCACAAATGCATGCACCGGGCCTCTAGTTCTATTATAAACACTCCTTTGACCACTTTAATCCAGAAGAGCTGTTATCTTCATACCTTGATTATTGATGATGTCAACATCCTCCTAATGGGTGTCTGCTTCCAGCCTCTCCTTGTGCAATCTATCTGCCCTCTGGAATATAACTTGATTTTCTACTGTCTAAAACAAAGCTCTCCATACCAGTATTACCTTGAATAAACTGGGTCGTATCTTTTGGTCTGTTTGTATCTCTGTAAAGTGAGGGAATTAAATGGCTTTGAGGCAGGAGAGAAAGAAGTTAGGGGAAAATCCCGACAAGTGGAATGAGGAAGTAGGAGCTGACAGCCTGCCACCAGAGCCCCCACCTCCCAGCAGGATCAAAGATAAAACAGTTAATGGAAGGAAAGTCACAACCAGGCCCCCTCCCAATCAGAAGGTGGGGTCAGAATTTGGTGCCACAAAGCGAGGAGACAGCCCCCCTTACCCTTGGAAATGCATAAAATCCCAAGGACTAACTGACCACGCCCACACCTTTCCCTGGTGTTGGCCCTAGTTCACTGGGACACGTACTTTTGTACTTTCAGCTTCTTTCACAGGGGCGCTGGCGCTGAGCCCTGCCCTCTTTGTTTTTCTCTACCTGAATAAAACCTGCTTTATTCTTACTCCAATTCTTCCTTAAATCTTTCCTGGGTGAGTCAAGGACCTGGCGGTCACCTCATACAGAAAGGTCCTAGACCAGTGGTTCTCAACCTTCCTAATGCCATGACCCTTTAATACAGTTCCTCATGTTGTGGTGACCCCCAATTTCATTGTTACAAATTGAACATAATTAAAGCATAATGATTAATCACAAAAACAACATGTAGTTATATATGTGTTTTCCGATGGTCTTAGGCAACCCCTGTGAAAGGGTCGTTCGACCCCCAAAGGGGTCGCGACCCACAGGTTGAGAACCGCTGTCTTAGACCCTGAGTAGACAGGGCCAGTGCCCAGCGCCCAGCGCCCAGCGAGGAAGCAGTCGGTAAATAATTTCAACAGTTTTTTTGAGTTCTAGAATTTTGAGATGTTTCTCATGTCACTGTCCTATCCCCCAAACTCGGGTGACTTGCCATTAACTACAGCCCAGGGTCTCAACTTTTTAGACTAGCATTGGAAGTTTGTCACTAATCTGGTGGTTCATCCCTCACGGGTTAGCAGTACTCTTGTAAGAGCGTCTAATCAGTTTCTCAGACATTCCCTAACTTTCCCTGCTTGCTTTCCATTTTTTGCTCTTGGCTATTTTTCTGGTCTCGTGATACCTACAGACTTATCTATTTACCATCTTATTTTTGTATGTTGAAATCCTACTCCTCTATACTAAGTAAAATCTTCTTCATACTCTATCCACACAGCCCAGTGACCACTCTTCCTCTCTTTAAATAGTTGATATCTTAGAGCGGTTCACTAAACATTTCTCATTATTGGCCTTGGCTGGGTAGCTCGGTTACAGCATCGTCCCAATACGCCAAGCATGGAAGTTTGATCCCCAGCCGGGCACATACAAGAAGCAACCAATGAATGCATAAATAAGCGGAACAACAAATCCACGTTCCTTTCTCTTTCCCTTCCTCTCTCTCTCTCTCAAAAAAAAAAAAAAGAATTTAAACAGTACTCATTATTTTTTTAAATATATTTTATTGATTTTTTACAGAGAGGAAGGGAGAGGGATAGAGAGTTAGAAACATCGATCAGCTGCCTCTTGCACACCCCCTACTGGGGACGTGCCCGAAACCAAGGTACAAGCCCTTGACTGGAATCGAACCCGGGACACTTCAGTCCGCAGGCCGACGCTCTATCCACTGAGCCAAACCGGTTAGGGCCAGTACTCATTATTATTTTTGAAGATGAATACATTTGACTAGCAGTTTGCTTAATTGTTTTTTAGCAAAGGATGGTGGAAGGCCAGTGATCTGATGTTTGAGGAGCTTCCAAGCAGAGGTGGAAACCCCTTCCTAGGATTTCTGGAGAGGGGCCTGGTCCATATGCCCATTAAGATTACTTTTAGTTGTAGCCCTGGCTGAGCAGTTCAGTTGGTTAGACTGTCGTTCCTATAAGCCAGGGTTGTGGATTCGATCCCAGGTCAGGGCGCAAACAGGGGTCAACCAGTGAATGCATAACTAAGAGGAACAAATTGATGTTTCTCTCTCTCTCTCAAATCAATCAATAAAAAGTGTTTAAGAAGGTGACTTTTAGCTCTAAATTCTTAATGTTGTCTGATTTAGTTTGCAGAAACATTTACCAGGGGCAGCCTGGCGGGCTGGGCTGGGAAAGGAAGGTTAGGGTGGAGTCGTCTAATTAGGATGGCTTCCAGGAAGAGAGGAGACCTTCCCGTATCTACAGATCACCCCCCTTCTCCTGCACCTGCCTGGGCAAGCCCTCCCTCACCCGGATCAGCATTTAAAAGAACCTGGAACAATATAAAAAAAAATAATAATAAAAAATAAAAAGAACCTGGCTCCGCAGGTGGGTGAGGCCCAGGGGGTTGGGCGCGGCCTGTGTTCCAAAAGGCTTCTGGCTCCATCCCGGGGTCCACGCTAACCTCTCTCTCTAAAAATCAATAAACTATTCTTAAAAAAAAGGGAAAAAAAGAACCTGGCTCTAGGACCAGGTCTTGTAGTCTATCAATCAGCAGTACTGAAAGCAGCAAACTGCCTTAGCCGGTCTGGCTCAGTGGATAGAGCCTCGGCCTGTGGCCCAAAGGGTCCCGGGTTCGATCCGGGGTTGCGGGCTCGGTCCCCAGTGCGGGGCGTGCAGGCGGCAGCCGGTCAGCGACTCACTCGCATCGTTAATGTTTCTGTCTCCCTCTCCCTTCCTCCCTAAAATCAATCCAAAACAAACAAAACGCATCTCTCAGATAACCACCCAACTTGCCCCCTCATCTATGCACATCTCTTCTCCTCAGAGAGAGATTTCCTCAACCAACCTTTTAAAATGTGTAGTTAAATCCTTCAGTCGCCCACCGTCCCCTCCGTTGTTTGCTTTTTTAAAAAGAATTTACATAATGCCATATCCATTTCTTTATTGTTTGCCTCCATTCCCAACGCCACCAGCAGTACCAGGAGAGTTACTGCTATCCCCCGCAGGCTCTAGAACAGTGCCCGGCACACAGTAGGTACTCAATAAAGAAGTTGTTTGACAGACCGGAAAAGTTGAGTAAACTAAAGCAAGAAAGCGTGTCTACCTCCGAGTCAGGCGCGCGTCGACTTCACGCAAAGTATGAGCGCCACCTCGCGGGAAGCCAATTCGCTCCAGAAAGCAGGAAGCGAGTCATAGAATCTTAAAAAAGAAAGAAAGAAAAAAAAAAAAGATGGCGGCGGTCTGCCGGAAGAGCATGAAAAAGCAGTGCCGGAAGTTAAAGATCGGAAAGTTCTCCCTAGAATGACAACCAACTCACCGGAAGAACCGCGGGCAAGTGGTGTTCCATAAAATGGGCTCCCCGGTAGCAGATTTGAGCAGAAGGGTTCCGCGCGTGCGCGTGCCGGCAACCACGTGCGGCCGGGGCACGTTTCCGGTGCGGAGGACCGGAGGCGGAGTAGGAGCTGCTAGAGCTGGAAGGGTGAGAAGGGTTCAGGGTCCTGAGAGGAAGGGAGAGCAATGGGGCGGGGGAGCGGGGAGGTGCAGGGGTCCTATGAGATCTGAGAGGTGGCGAGGGGATCGGACTGGGAAGAAGGGTGGGGCCGCGCCGGTGGCAGGTGCAAACCTGTCAGCGCACGGCCCACGCCACGTGGACTCGCCTTTGTCGGTGGCTCTTGGCTGCCTTTCCCATCAGGCCGCGACTACAGGAGCTGTGCCTTGTTTGTCTCTGGTCTCGGAACTGACGCTCTAGTACGCGATTGCAGAATGAATGGCAGGGGTGTGTCCGGGTGGGCGTGGAGGGACTTCTATAGGGACTATTTCTGGCTCTTCAGCCACATTTTCTCCCGGTGAATCCATGCTTGTCTCGAGCGTTCTCCAATCATTGTACTTTGTCTCTTTTTCTTGGAGGGGCAAGGTGATTATCATTTAAGACTTTTTTTTTTTTTTTTCATTTATTTAGTGCTAGGCCCTGGCTAGGTGCCAGGAACAGACCACAGACCACCGGGGAAGACAGACACACAAACATAAGATTCAAGTGTATTGACTCAGGTGCTGTAATAGGAGGTTAACTCAGGTGCAGGAAGATAGAGCCAGGAGGTGGCTGTTATCCGCATTAGGGATTGTCTGCCAAGGTGAGGGGCCTCTTTCCTCATCTTGCGGAGGCAGAGTCGGTCTCGAATCTTCTCTGTAAAAGGAAAGATCTGGAATAGGTGCTTTCTAGGCTTCCTTCCAGCAGATGCCCCATATCAGATAGTATTACTAATGGTTCAGGTTCTCCCACAATCCAGTTTGTTGGTTAGTCAGAGTATTCATCACATTTTAGGATGTAGCATAAATTGCATGGGGATGGGGAAATCTGGATTTAGCCCTCTTTCTGGTGTTCTGGATCTATTCCCTCGTCTGTAAAGTGAAGGGGATTGAAATGAAAATAATCTCTAAAACTCCTTCCAGTTCTAATGCCATGATGTGTTAAGTAGGTCAAACCGTATTTCATATGCCCTGTACCAGATGTCACTTTCACATGATCAGTGTCATTTTGCCTCATCAGGATAATTGAGGAAGATAGTGTCTTTTTTTTTTTTTTTTTTTACATCTCCTACCTTAGTTCTGCCAAAGTATGGGGACACAGTAGACGCTCAATATAGTGTATTAAATAAAATGGGGTAGCAATGATAGCTCCTGCGTTTGCACTCTGGAATATTAGCTCATACATGAGAGGACCGAGGAGAACTGGGTTTTTACTAGGCGAGACTTGGAGTCGAC